GCTGCAGGCTCTAAATAGCACTGACCATCACTGACCTGACAGACAGAAAGCAATGGTTACTATAATTACATAATACAGAAACGCTTAAAAATCAGCAGCTAGAAGAGTGATTAAAATGAGAAACTGTAGCAAAAAATGTAACAAATTCAAGCCATATAACAGCTTGAATATATGCAGAGTCCTTAAACAAACACTGCAGGTTAGTCTGGATAAATAAACAAACAACATTAATCTCTAACCAAGCAGACATGATTAAAGGCACAGACACAGCAGAGCAGATGGTGGCAGTGAGACCACAGTTGTTGAGACCACAATGACCTGTTTGTTTTGCAGATGCAACACCTGAGCCAGTAAACACAGACTAGTCACCACTCAAAGCAAACACCAAACATCCTAGAGTCCACAATGGTCCACGAAGCTCTCAGGCACTCCATTTTTCTCTCTCTCTCAGAATTGTTACCATAAATCTCAACATCATGACGAGAACAAATACATATAATCTATACATTTAACAATCGCCAGCTTGAGTATTTTTCCCAATTCAGGCTGTATCAGCCGGCCTGCCAGCTGCTACCACCACAATCATTCATAAACATTGTTAGCTTGTTTATTCAAAGGGGGCAGGGGTCTGCCACCATGACGACTAGCGCCTCAGACTGCCGCCCTCCCATCAAGACAAGTGACACTTGTGGGGGGGGGGTATTTTAGAAAATGAGAGACTGGCGCTGTTTGTTCACAACACGAAGAATGCCTCATGAATAAAAGCTCCCATGGCCAAATGCTCTTCACTGATGTTTAATTTGTTTATGGGATCTTTAGATCCCTCCTACATGTTTCCTCAGTGATTAGCAAATGAAAGATAGGGAGAACAGCATTTTCAGCACAGGGATTATTTTTGGTGTTTTGAGTGGTTAACGCCTGGCATGTCTCTTGCCTCCTGTGAAATTTGAGGCTAGGAGAGTTAATTGCTCCCTAGGTCTTTGTCAAAGGACGACCACCTTCTGATCTTATTGTTACAGGGGAGGGTGGAGCAAAGATTTTACAAGCTCTACAAACACAAAGAGAGAAGCTTAAAAAAAATGTATTGGGATATTTCCGACTGCAGGTTATAATATTGCTCCATGTTGACCAATTTTAGCGAGAACTAAACGATGTGAAAGGAAAATGTTTGTGCAGTGGTCAGATTACCAAACAACACAGGAAAGAGCTGAGCTGTGATAAAACGCTGAGTCTATTTCATATCCAAATATAGACTACTTGGAATTAAAGGATCAAGATTCAAGATGTCCACTATCAAATATACCTTCTACTGGTTGAATCCCAGATGGTGCTTTAAAAATTGTGACACGACACACAACGGCAAAAAGTGTGTAACTAAATGTGTATATATATATATATATATACACATTTACACAGTGTATCAATTAAAATGGAATTATAATATATGCATAACTAAATTTTATCCGTGAAACTGCAAAGAGATCATCAAACTTCTGGTTAATATTATATTGTATTACATATCACATATCCAGCAAACATCCTATAAATCTTCTGTCACATGTTTGTGCTTTTCGATAAGGCGTCCTGCAACACAACACCAGGGAGATATCAAGCACTAGTAAATTCTCAGTAAATAAAAACCTGAATTTCTTATGATAGCATTAGTTTGATTTGTGCCGTAAAAAATACCTCACTTGTTCAAATAGTCACTTTGAATGCACCACACAGGTCTGCGGTGTTTCAGTGTTCTATTCAAATGTCTTACTGATGACAGCTTCTCCTTAAACATGTGCTTTTAAAGAAGACATTTCTTTGTTAAATAGGTCTACCTGTATAGGTGGGGCACGTAGAGATGCCCACGTCACACACACACACACACACACACACACACACACACACACACACACACACACAGAATTAAATAAAAAGGAATTATATGAGAATAGAATTTCCTTCCCAGAGATCAAACAACACTATCTTTCCCAAAGATAAATAAAAAAATATTCAGTGAATGAACCGATCTGTCCACCTTAAGGATTCAAATCAGTTGGGTAACAGACACAATAGACTTCCTTATCAGACATAGTAAATTTGGCAGCAGGCAGCTGTTTGATCGTATGAAACGCAGACAGGGCTAATTAATTATCATTGCCACAGTCACACCTTCATCTGAAATATTACAGCCTATTATTAATAATCCTTCACTATAAATAAATGTTCGCTTATTTGCATGTCTGCGTCAAATTCATGTGGTTGATTTTATAAATAAAAACATTTCTCCTAACCCTCCTGCACACTCAAAGATAACAAGTGATGTTTATCGGGATGACTAAAATGTGGATCGGAGAAGGTACGCACCTTTCCCAGGATGGAGCGGCTGGTCCAACTCTTCCGTTGTTCAGCGGTAAATCCAGCAGGACTGTCGGGCAGAGAGCAGCTGATGTGTTGGACGTGCGGTGTGAGAGTGGGGACACGGTTCAGCCTGAGATCGGCCCGTGTTGCTTCTCCCAAGGCAACGTGTCTGGGAGGGCGGGATTAGCGGGGACCGGCTCTCCCATTTGCTCGTCAAATGCCCCCGACCGACAAATCGGCTTGTTCTCTCGGTGCAGCCGCGGAGCAATAGGCGGAACCGGTTTACATATGCAAATTACATGGAAATAGCACAAACACGTGGACACGCGGATCGGTTTCACTTCAGCCAGCAGCTGGGCGAGAAGTCAATTCAGGGCTAGTTTTGGTCATTCCGCAGACATTCTTTCTCATTATATCATCCGGACGATGATGCATGACTTGTGGCATGTCAGTAAACGGAGTAGCCATGGTAAAGGCGCAGTCAGCAGTTTCAGGGACAACTGTGATAGTTCATGTGAGCGTTTGCTCAAGGACACTTAAGCAGAACAGCGGACTGTCTGGCAGTGCGGTCTAGACAGTAATTGTCCTAAATTTAGAATACATTTAGCAGTAGTGGAGGAAGTATTTAGATCATTTAAGCTACTTAAGCAAAAATAGCAATATCCCACTACAAAACTACTCAACAACAAAATGTACTAAAAATACAAATATTCATTATAGGCCCTTAGATGTAGTTTTAGATTTACATACTTTTAGTTTGTTACATGCATCATATTGTATATAAACTGGTCATATGTTATGTCTATTTTTAATCTATAATCTATAATTGAATGTCTGCTGTAATAAAAGTAGGTCTACAGCAAATAGCATAGTGGTAAAATAGATAGTCAAGTAAAAAGTACAATATTTCCCTCTGCAAAGTACTATGAAGAAGATCTTAAATACAGCCTATTTAATACAACAAATGTAATTAGTTACACCATTCAAATACAGTCAAGAGAGGTCTCTAAATTGTGCATGAATAAGTGATAAATTACGATGAATAAACTTAAATTGGTTAGTCATTATTTAATGTTAATTATCTAAACTCCAGCCTTTAAACCCTCAAGTAGGCAAAACCGTTTTACAAGCAAAACGGGCTGCAATAAAGATGCTATCAACATGCAGAGTGTGTTCTATCTGCATCTGTTTTCTTTGTTGGACACATGTGCCGGTAAATGCGTGACTCATAGCACCTCTGTGTGACTGCCTGATAGGCTGGGATTAGGATGCTCTGTCAGAGGCCAGACGAGGATCCTGAGCCTGGAGCCAGTGAGTCACGAACCCTCTCGCAGCAAAGGTGATCACGTGTGTTTGGGAGACACCCACCCACAAAAAGCACAACCGGCCCCCTCTCCTTTACTCTCCCTCAATAGACAAGGACAAGCAGAATTCAAACAACAAAGAGTGAACAAGTCACATGTGGGAAAAAGCACCGTGAGATGTTTACAGAGCCAAAAACGCTGCGTTTTAACAATTGCGTGCAAAATGCAGAAAGACTCCTTGGACTGTCTGTGCTTTCTAAAATGATGGTAATTAGATTCCTAAAGCACTTTGAGGTCGGGTGATCATAGAGGAGCATATTTGGCTATACTTTTGTTTTATCTGCTGCTGTTAAAGTGAGGAGCAGGCAGGACAAGGGCAACAGTAGCCTGGTGTTTGGGTGTTTACTCTTTGCTGCTGTGCCTTAAATCACATCCTATAGTGAAGGATGCACAATCACAGACACCATTACCCATAAAGCCGGTGGACAGTGAGCCATTCATGTTGAATAATACTCTTGTAAGCCGCTGCAAACTAATAAACATCCCATAAACATTCTCCTGACATTCTGCTCCCCAGGCCCAGATCCTCCAGTGACCCCAGACTTTGTGATGACTGAGCTCTTCCTACAGATTCCAAAGCAAACTCTCATTTTCCTTTTTTGTGTTCAAGGTTCCCATGTCACTGTGGAGAACATTGCATCTACTTCAAAGCACAGGAAACAGACATCTACATTTTTTTGGGGGGGGATCAAAGTGATGTCTCATACACGTGCAAATAGGACTTTAAGCTGTACAGACACAGTAGAAGATGTAGATAAGTAATGTTTATATAAGTAACAGATTAGAGGCGACTGTTACTCAGTTGTCTTTTGTTGAAAGTGTTTTTCTTTTTCTTTGCAGATTGTTCTGAATGTTTCAGTATATCTTGTGATCTCTGGGAACATATTTACAATAATCCGGCTCCATTCACATGCACTGCAATTTGTCATTCACATAAAGAACAATCTCCTCACAAAGAGAATTATTTTTATCGGTGCATTCTCCTCTCGGGATCCGGGATGAGTCACACAACACAAACTGGCACTGTGATTTTGAATTTGTCAGAGAGGCTGGCTGATTCTGTATCCCACAGAGACTGGATGCTCTCATTCATAAAAAAAATAAAAGCCAATTCAGAGCCCCACGCCCACTTTATTATAGGGCACACACTGAACATCTGCCCTAACCGACCCTTTTAGAAAAACGCAGCACGTGTGCGTGAGCATCTGTGAAACACCTCACCCTATGGACCCAGAAACCTTGGAAGCCTTGTGGCTTATTGAGGGTTTCATGCATGTGTGTGTACAATATTGCAAAATCTGTTTCTCATTTTCAGACGGGGTGACGTGTCTCACGCAATAGCTAGCCATTGAAGAGATTCACTGGAGTGTGGAGCGCTTGCTGATAGCCTCAGTTAACCCTGCCTGCTGCATAGCGAGAGAAAGTGTCTTTACCTGCAAGTATGCAGCAAGCGGATATGGTGGAGAGTGTTTGGGTGCTGGTTTGTATGCCTGTTGTCTTACAAACGGCTGTCCCTTGCAATAAGCTGTGCATATGACTCTGACCCTGGCTTTGGGCCATGTGCCGTCCTGCGTCCAAATCTGGACCTATAGTGACATGTGTGTGTCCATGCAGTGCTTCCCTAAATTGGGACACCAATCAGCAGGCTTTCCACAGCATTGCTCGCATTATAACTGCTCACCACTAATAGCTGGAGTGTTACCCATCCACGGGTTTTGGTTTGAGCTCGGAGGACGGAGAAGAAACGACTGGAATGTTCATAACATGTGGAGACGTTAAGTAAATCTGCGGCAGGGAACACAAACGTAAACACAAACATGTGAGCCATGCACAGTGTGCATCAGACCTTAAAGACACATGCAGTGCCTGGACACAATTGATGTTGTGACAGAATATTCAGTATCTGCAGCGCTTCATAGCTTTGACAAGATGACATAATGTTTCCCAGTAAAGTGTACGGCCTTGGATGGTCTTTGAAATAAATCGAGCATGTCTGCCTCTCCAATGGATTCAAACCTTATTGTACTCATCAATATGGTTGAAACGGAAACTTTGCAGCTTGGATCTCAGGCTGAAACTTTTTTAGTACATTCCAAATGCCCCTTGTTTTATAGTGTTCTCCACATATGTTCCACATGACAGCAACATAAAATCTGCAATTCATGGACTGAATATTATCTGAGCAAAGTGTGCTTCTTGCATAATTTGGCAAAAGCTTCACCGAGTCTGGACTCTGTAACTCTCGTTATTCTTGTTAGAAAACGTGTCCTACACTTCTCTCTACAGTAGCTTACTCCTCCAGATATGTCATCTTGTTACAGTAAATGCTGGTTCAGTTAACCCCACCCACGCACCAGAAACGCGGCTGCACGTAATGTGGGCACGCTGCAGCAGTGTGGGGGGGGGGGGGGGGGGGTGCCAGCCAATAGCATTTAGAGTTGGTGTTAGAGGTTATGTAGTCGGAGGAGAAGTGATACTGGACGCATTTTTGTGACTTTAAAGGGCTGGACTTCCGGCACCCCGTCATGTACCCTCCCCCTCCCTTTGTGGCTTCTTCCCGGTCCAACTCTCAGTCACATGCACTTCACTCAGAAAGAAAGCTTCCTGACTATTTTCCACACACAGTTCACATGCAGGCAGTTGAGAATGTCTGGCAGCAAATCACTGTCAAATATGTTGTAGCTCTGCATGAGTATATGTGTGTGTGTGTTTGTTTATACTCTCTCTAATGTCTAAACGACTGCCAGAGCAGCTCTAGCGACGGTGGGAAATCTATCTGCAGGACTGAGCGTTACATGTGACTGGGGTGTATTTTAACTGGGTTATGTAAGTGCTCCAGCCTGCGCTCTCCACGCACAGATGAGGAGGGCTACGAATGATGCACTGTGAGCTCACCACGAGCGCAACCTTTCGCACATTGAATAATTCCTTCACTCGGCTTGAACTTGGACTCAATGCGCATTTTATAAAAACTGGCTTTTCAGTGTTGGTTTACACTTAAAAAAAAAAAAAAAGGCATTTTAAGATAGACTGTACACTGTTGTGATTCACAGTTTATATTTCACATGGGCAAATGTTTTCCTATTGTTTCAGATGGTGTAACATTTTGAGCTGCTAACAGTGTAATGTGATCTTAATGTGAAGGTTAGAGTTATGTAAGGGGATTTGTGAGATACAAAAAAGTGAAGAGAAGCACTGACTGCTCCTCTCACTTTACTGCCATTGTTAGATTCATCCGAGGGCAGTGTGAGCACGTGGCGTGACATAAGCAGATAACGGGGCGGTCATTACATGCAGACATGAGACAGACACTTCGCGATAGGTTGACTAAATCTTTACTTGAAGCTCTCTGTGGAGAGCGGCTGAGAGTGCTGACAACAGGCTAGCCGCCAAATCTATGTCCAATGTAGAACTACCCACGCTCCCTCTGCTAGCACTTTTATGGGATCATTATGTGGGCGTTTTAGTGTGAGATTCTATCTAGAAGTGATGTGATATGGGCTGATAATTTCTTAGTAGGCAGCAATCCAACCTCACTTGGAGAGGAGCTGATGATCATAGAGCTTTCATAACCCTCCATCACAGGCCTGCTCAAGACAGCATCATAGATGTGTACTTTCAAAGGTTTAAAGAGATGTTTCAATACATTACAGACATTATATTAGGACTATTGGAAATCTCAAATGCACAGGATACTCTAAGATACATTTTCCTTTTGTTCTATCTTTTTATTCTATCTATACCTAACTTGATAAGTGTCATGAACAAAATCATATTTGGGTTT